TAAATTTAAGATAATATCAGGAAACAGGAACTGAGTTTGTTGCTAGTATACCTGCCACACAAGAAATACTAAAAGGAAGTTTGCAAATGACTCAGAAGATACACAGTAAGTACTTGGAAAATGAAAGAAGTAATTTCCATGAACTTTCTTCATATGATCAGTATGTACAAGGACACTGTTTGGTTTAGTGAACTATCCAAAGGACAATGAACTATCCAAATGTGCTTTAAAAAGTTATTTAAGTGATTATTTGATTAACTATTTCATGCTTATAAAACAGATTTTAAAGTGTTTTTAGGTAAAGTGCTATTTTTGGACCCTTAAATTCTAAAGCATACTAAGTGCCATGGGATAATGTCCCCCCAAAATTCATATATTGTAGACTAAGCCATCTCACCAATCCCCAGATACCATAGTCTTTTAGAGCTGTAGAGAACAATCAAATCCCATCCAGTGCCTCTGGAATGTGACCATATTTGGACATAATCTTCAAAGAGAGTTGAAACTAAACTGAGTATTCAGGGTGAGAACCCAGATCCAGTGATTCACAAATAGTTATCTTTCTAGATCATGCTGCGCCTTGTATATTGAAGCAGGGTCTCTCACTTGAATTCAGAGCTCACCCATTCAGCCAATCACCTTGCTCTCAGGATCCTCTGCCTCTGTTTCCTCAGTGCTCCAAACACAGGCAGGCACCATGCTCACATGGCATTTATATGGATGATGGGATCACCATCAACAAAACAAACAGTTCTGAAAGGTTTACAATAGTTGTAAAACACTCCTCTAGACACGCTTAATACACTCTATTCAATTCAACTAGATATAACTATGTTCATACTTAACTGGGGAACAGAGAGACTATGGAACTTGTTCAGAGCCACACAACAAAAATATTTACCAAGTGCTCACTCTCATGTACTTGTTCTTTTACTACTATGCTATGCATCTATCTATTCTACCAGTGATTAAGATTACACGTCACTCTTCCAGAGGACTTGAGTTTGATTCCAAGCACCCACATGGCAGCTCACTGCTTTCTATAACTCCAGTTCCAAGGGATCTAATACCATCTTATAAGATAAAGATTAAGTTTTTCAGTGAAACATAGATTGAATCAAATTATATGCTACTTTGAATTTTTAATTCACAACTTTTTGGTTACCAAGTTTTCTGTAAAGGGAGGATCCATTTGTCTTCTTCTCCTTATAAATATATAAAACATATTTACCAACAAATAAAATACTAGACTCCACTGCTCATTGCCAAGATGTTTCTGACAGCACTACAGAGCTACTGCAGACAACACATGCTCACAGAATCCCACAAACTCCTTCCACAGTTTCTTGATCTGCTTATTGTGATTCACCAGATGCATCTAGTCTTTAATGATATGTTTAACTTTTAAAAAGAAAAAAAAAGCCCCGAGGAAAGTATATTTGGATGCTATTGCATTCGTGCATCAACATCTTTTATGTTTTAAGTAAGTATTGCGTGAGACAGAACTTTCTGTTTGTTTCATAAATAACAGTGAATATAAAATGAAGTCTATTGCTGTAGTTTGGCCATATGCTGGTTGGAGCCATGCTAAACAGATTTAACTAGAATTTTGCCTTTCTGGGTGATTGGAAGTATAATCCCAGCATTCAGGAGAAGGATCAAGGGGACAAGGACAACCTGAGTTACATAGAAAGATCCTATCTCCAAAAACAAGGTAAAAATAGGTTTTCTAAGAGCAAGAGATCTTGTTTTAAACAATCTGTGTGTATATCTATTCTGCTTACCAGTAGATTACATACAATGTTAGAAAAATTTGGTAGAGCCAACATTACCTTATTCTAAGTAAGTTCTGCCATGATCACACTTCCTCAGAATTAGCTAACAATTTTGTTACATTTATTTGTGTGTGTGTGTGTGTGTACATGCTCACATGCCACCACACATATGTGGTAGTCAGAAGACAACTTGTAGGAGTTAGTTCTTGCCTTCCACCTGAAGGTCTGAAGGTCTGAAAGATCTAACTCAGTTCATAAGGCTTGAATGCCAGGATCAGACGAGGTTTTTGCTTTTTCGATAAAGGGTTTTTCTTCGCTCTTTGACTGTCCTGAAACTCACTCTGTAGACCAGTCTGGCCTTGAACTCACAGGATTCCTCCTGCCTCTACCTCCTGAGTGCTAGGATAAAGTCATGTGCCACCACACCCAGCATCTTGAGATTTCTAATCTATTTTATGAGATGAGATCAGGCGCATTCAGGGTGATATGACCGTAGACTCTAATCTGTTTCAAAAATTTTTTTTCTAAAGTTCTTTCCAAGGCATATGGAACCTTTGTAGTACAATGGGATCTATAAAAAATAAAAAAAATCCTATTCATTTATGACTAACTCTTAGCCTCTTATAAGCTTCCCCACCCCTTTTTATGGTGTTCAATTTTGCCCCTTAGCAGTTGAAAGTTTTCACTTATTTTATACAATTGGCACACTCCAGGGGAAGTCTACCATTAACATTTCTGTGGTATCCTCTCCCTTTGAACATGACTAGAGTACTTACTGATGTATAATAAAATATAGGAAATGTGATGGATATCACTTCAAAAGTTATTTTATAAGACTGTGACTTCTACAAAGGGTGCTCATTCACTTTTTTTTTTCCCATGGATAGTCTCAGGGAAGACAACTACAAAACAACAGCAGAACAATACAGAAAATTAATTGGCAGGACAATTGTCGATCCAAAAGTCTGATGGATATTAGAATCTTCCAACAACACCGCTTGGATATGGCCTACAGCTCAGCCTACAGCTTGAAGACTTTGAGCTCCTAACTAAATTGCCCAAATTTATGACCTCAAAGATTGGGAGACAAGGAGGGAATATATGCATAAGGGAGGCCAAGATCATGATGGAGAAATCTATAGAGACAGCTAAACCAAGCTTATGGAAACTCTTGAGCTCTAGACCAGCAGCTGCAGAGCCTCCATGGGATCAAAGCAGGCCCCTCCCGTATATGAGAGATAGTTGTGAAGCTTGAACTATCTGAGGAGTCCCTGGCAGTAGGGCCAGGATCTAATTCTGGTGCATGAGCTAGCTTGTTGAAGCCCATTCCCTATGAGGGGATGCCATGACCAACCTTAATGCTGGGGGTAAAGGTTTGGTCCTGCTCCAACATAATATGCCAGACTTTGTTGAATCCTCATGGGAGCCCTTACCCATTGTGAGGAGTGTATGGTAGGTTGAACTGGGAAGGAGGTGATGGGAGGCTTGAGGAGGGGTGGGAGGGAAAAATAAAATTCAAAAGAATTAATACATTTTTAAAAGATTGTTAGAAATGGACTTTTTAAGTTACAAAATATGGGATTCATTTTGTCTAACATAAGATTAACTCACTAATAGTCATAATCTGGTCATGTTATTGGCAGGTTGTAGAGTTATAGAGCAGGGACTTGTTGGAGGAAACAGATCAATGGGGATATGTGGTGTGTGAAGGATCTGGGAGAAGATCTTCTTCCCTCAGTAAATCTTTCTAGAATTACCCTCACAGACTCATATGAAGTGTACCTCTTAGTTAATTCTAGATTCAATCAAATTGACAACTAAAGATAACCATCACACACAAAAAACTAAATTATGAAGCCAGGCAGCTGTAGTGCACATGCTTTTAACTCCAGCACTTAGGAGGCAGAAACACGTGGATCTCTATGAATTTGAGACCAACTGAGTCTACAAAATGAGTTCTAAGAAAATCAGGACTACTCACAGAGAAGCCCTGTATTGGAAAAATAACAAAAAAATTATGATACTAAAAAACTTAGAACATTAAAATAAATATAGATATTATTTTACAAAGCTTTCACTTATTTTTAGTTGAGCACGATTGGATAAAAACAGATTTCTGCCTCTAAGCTTACACTAAAGGAATCAGAAAAGCCTCATTTTCTCCTGAGCAATTATGAAGCATTTCCATTTTTAAATGGGAAGAAAACCTAATTTGAGAATATTATGTGTGGTGGTTTAAATGAAAATGTCCCCCCCCCGTAGGCTCATATGTAGTGACACTATTAGAAGGTGCGGCCTTGTTAAAGAGGAAGTGTGTCAATGGGGGTGAGCTTTGAAGTTTCAGAAGCTCAAGCCAGACCCAATGCCACTCTTTCTCCCTGCTCCCTGCCAATCCAGATATAGAACTCTCCACTCCTTTTCCAGTATCATATCGGTCTGTATATTATCATGCTTTCCACCATGATGATAATGGACTAAACCTCTGAACTTTAAGCCATCCCCAATTAAATATTTTACTGTATAGGAGTTTCCATGATCATGGTGTCTCTTCACAGCAAAAGAAACCTTAACTAAGACATGTTGTTTCCTCACAATGTGGTTGATGGCCTAATTATTTTTAAGGAGATAACCAGATCCTCCTATAGTACCAAGTTCTCGGGCTTACCCCATAACCACATTCCAAGGTCATGTTCAGAAGGTTTCTCTAGCCTCAGTGCCTCTATTATAAAGAACCTCATTCCAAAACCCTAACACAACAGAGCTAACTAAATTATAACCAAGAAATTTGGATTATAAAATGCAAGATTTCCTACTGAAGTATCAAAGTAATTACTAACTTCTGGCTTCAGTTGTTCCAGTGAAGGCCCAATCACAAAACAAGTTTTTAGGATCAGCAGGTAGCTTCTTGTATATTTTATAAGTCAAAGAACAGGATTTCAATAGTTCTTCCTGCAACCGTAAAATAGTTAGAAGGAACCACATGGTTGCAGATAATGACAATGTGCCCTCTGCCTGGCTCTTGGTCAGATAGTAATGGTAAATAACACAGAGGTGAATCCCTCTTCTGCAATGTTACCTGAGACTTTGGTATATGAGTGTTTTGTAGATGCATGCATTGGGACTGGGCTCCACAACACTGCATTTTGATTGGATGTGGTTTTCTATAGTGGTCTCCATCTGTTGGAAAGAGAAGTTTCCTCTATGAGGGGTGAGGATTATACTTACCTGTGGGTATAAGGACACATGAGCTACACTCAGGAGCTACAGCTGTACCCACTCCTTGTAATTCTGTAGATGCAGGGTGGAGAGGCCAGACTTTTGTCCAAAAGTTTTTAGAGATGACTCACAAAATTGACCTTAAATTTGTATCAATAACCAACCCTGTATAAATTAAAACAAACATTTATAAACAATATTTGGGAATGTGGGCTTTGTTCTTTCCAAACTACTTCCTGCTGTTAAGGGGTACTGAAATACCAGGGGGATCATGAAATAAAAGCAGAAACCTGTTGAAGTCCTTGTTTTTGTGGTCTGAAAGGCTGCATCATCTCAGCTATTTTAGATGTTGGATCACCTGGGCCACTGCTTCAGGTGGTCTTGCTTCATCAAACCATACTAGTCTGGAAGGAACCCACAGCTTTTTATTTTCTGTGGAAACAAAAGCAGAAATTATTTTCCCAAGTAACCTGTCCTTATATTTAAATTTAGAAGTCAGAGCATTTTCAAAATATGTAGTTGGATTATTTCAGCAGCATTGATAATCAAATGTCTTTTAGCAGTTTTTGTTCGTTCCTTAGCAATTAAACATTTTAAAGACAACAAAACAGCACACAATATCCAGACTCTCCGTGTATTTTCCATTTCATATACTTTTACCTTTTCCTTTTCTTTCACTTAATACCAGTACCTCATTTACTGTTACCAATGTTCAATTCACCCATTTTCAATCCATCCTCCAACCAAGGATGATCCCTCAGGCAAAAGCCTTAAGATTTACTCAATCCACCCTCAAACTGAGGGCGATCTCTCAGGTTCCCCTTCCTTTCCCAACCTTTGTGTTGCGCTAAGGCCTGGAGATTTAACCTGACACCCCTAACTTGGTACCACTTTCCAATACACCCTTATAGCTTTACTTGCTGGTCAGCCTTTGAAGATGATCTCTCAGTTCCCCTTTACTTTCCTGACCTCAGTGGATCAGGCAAAAGGCTGGAGATTAATTCAATACACCCTTCAATTGAGGGTGATCACTCAGTTTTCCCCTTACTTTCCTGACCTCAGTGGATTGGGCAAAGGCTGGAGATTAATTCAATACACCTTCTTCTTAGAAGGTGATCTCTCAGGCAAAACCCTGGAGATTTAACCATTCGATTTTACTGTTAGAAGTTGAGGTACCTGTTTTCAAATATCTTCTTTCTCCTTTAGGGTCAGGCGCTAGCCTGTACTAGTGCAGGTGCTGCAATTGGAGGTCCCACCAAGATCCAGAGAAACTTGGAAAGACTGGTAAAGGTTGGCCAGAAAGAAGCCTCGGGAGAGGAGAGACTCAAGACCCTAAAATTCTGCAATTAAGCATTCATTTTGAAGCACATGTTGACTATTCTTGGTTGTCAACTTGGCTACATGTAGAATTAAATAAAACCCAGATTGCTGGGCACACCCGTGAGGGATTTTTATTTTCTTACTTAAATACTTTAATTTAGATCTAATCTGGATCTTTGAGGTGGGAAGACCACCATTAATCTTGACCACACCTTCTGCTGGCATCCTATATAAAGGACATGGAAAAAGGAGGCACTCTCTATATCTACTAAACCTGTTGCTCACCTAGCAAGTCCATTCTTTTACTGGTTTTATACCCTGCTTCTTCGGGATCCCAGTACATATGTGTTGGGGAAGTCTTATATCAATAAAGCACTGTTGAGCCAATAGGGAACCAAGATAGGAGGGACTAGGAGTCCAGGAGGACTCTGGGAAGGAGAAACACAGAGAGTTGAGATGTAACGCCATAGGGTAGGAAGCCCGGAACTTCTCCGGTAAGAGACATACTTAGATTAACAATTATGGGGTAATTACTTAAGTCAGAGCTAGCCAGTAAGAAACAAGCAAGGCCAACAGCTTCATAATTAATACAGCATCTTGTGTGTTATTTGGGGACTGTAACGCGGCAGAGCCCAGGCGACTGGCAGGTGATAAACCAAAGTGGCTAGCAAGGAAAACGCCTCCCATTACATATATGGAAGACCAGCTGAGCTGAGACATCCAGCCGTATGTACTGAAGAACTATAGGATTCTTGGACTTTCCGTTGAAAGACAGTTATTGTTGTTCTTGCTGGATTACAGCCTGTAAGTCATTCTAATAAATTCCCTTTTTATCATACACACACATACACACACACACACACACACACACACACACACACACACACGGGATAGAATATACATGTGTCTAATACTGCATGTTTTATAAGTTCTATTACTCTAGAGAACCCTGACTAATACAAGGCCTACTCCTGGAGCCTGGATCAAGGAAACACTCAGAAGCAGGGCACTGCATTACCTTTAAAGATCTACAGGTAGGTACCTTTCAGGAAGGAAGCTAGAAAGTCATTCTCTCATGGATCCCCTACCTGGTACAGGAGGTAGGTATAGTGGGCAGGACAAGGATTAAAAGAAAGGCTGTAAGGAACAGGGCAGAACAGAAGAAAGTGTCCTGGAAGAGAGAGGCCCTCAAGATGTCTGCAATCCAAAACTGAGCTGGAAACACGGGCACGGTGACCTCAGGAGCACAGCACACTGACTGTTTCACCTCAGTACTTAGCCTTTCTTTCCCTCTGCTTCCTGGGTGCATCCCACCACTCCTCAACCTGGCCCCACAACAGAATCCTACTCCTGGGTGAACAGTCAGTCCTGGTTTGACCAGCGCCTTCCCAGTTTGGGCTGAGAAAGTCTTGTAGTCTGGACTCAGCTAAGCTGCAGGCAGAGCAGGAGGGACCATTGCCACGGAACAAGGGAATAATTACATTTGTTTCTTGGAGATGCTGGAGGTGGCAAGCAACCTCTAGTACTAGGTTCCCAAAGAACCTCAGACAGCAATGTACTCATTGAGAAATAACTGATCAGCTAAATTAACTGACTGTGAGTACACAGCCCACTTTCATTCTGCCTGTGACAACGTCCATGTGATCGCATTACATGTACCCATTTCTTGGGTCTTCCTCCTTTGGGTCACTTAGAACTCCCTATGAAGTATGTGTGTGTGACTCTAACAGTTCTCCCTCTTTGGCTTGAAGTCCCTTCCTAGAAGATGTTGTGTTTGGTGTTGCATATTATATTCAAATCCAATATGGACACTCTTGGCATATTTTCCCTTCTAGAAACAAAAAAAATGGAAATTCTTCAGACAGGTGTAAAAGTTACCTTTTCCACAGGTAAGAAAGCTGCTGTGGGTGGGACTCTATTAACAGTCAAGGACCACTGATCAGTACATAGAAAGGAACAAATTTCCCTCCAGGTACCAACAGCAAGGCAAATGTACCACCGGATAATTGAATATATTAGGCCATTAACTGTCAAAGTCTCCAAAGCAAGGGCAAGTTCCCCAAGATAATAACTGGCCATTGTGTAAAACAGAGATCAGGGAGGGTGGGATGAGATGAAGGTAAAGGAAAGGGACAGGTGAACAGAATGACCAGCTGGAAACTACCCTGAGCATTCCACATTGGCTTACCACTTCAGACCTGGACAGAATGAAGGTCCTTAGAGAATGGCAAAATTGGATTGATGTATTACCAGAGGAAATATGCCTTGGACACCGACCATCAGGAGCACTTAATCCCACAAACATGGTGTCTGGTAGATTTGATATGGTTAAATCAGAGGGGTCAAATAATAATTGCTTTGCACTAGTTCCTGTCAGTTTTAGTCCTTCCTGTCATGAATCATTTCTTACACCCGAGCCTCCCTTTACTCCTAAAGGCAGAAAGAAAGATGACTGCACCCCAGCGTCACCACCACTGAGGATCCTCCTAGTGGGCAAATCTGACTCTGGGAAAAGCGCCACAGGGAACAGCATCCTCTGCCGACCAGTATTTGAGTCCAGATTCAGAGGCCACTAGGTGACGAGGACCAGCCAGGCAGAGATGGGCACATGGAAGGGAAGGAGTTTCCTAGTGGTAGACACGCCACCCATCATTGAGTCAAAAGCCCAGAACCAAGAAAAGGACATTGGAGACTGCTACCTGCTCTGTGTGCCAGGACCCCAAGTACTGTTACGGGTGACCCAGCTGGGACGCTTCACAGCCCAGGACACCACAGCTGTGAGGAGGGTGAAGGAGATCTTTGGGGTGGGAGTCATGAGGCACATGATCATCCTCTTCACCCCTAAGGAGGACCTGGCAAATGAGACCTTGCATGAGTTTGTGACACACACTGACAAACACAGCCTGCACAGCCTAGTCCAGGGGTGTGGGAGGAGGTACTGTCCCTTTAATAACAATCCATCTTTTAATTGTTGGCATCATTTCCAGAGTAAGTAGAGCCCTTTCAGAAACCCCTTACCTGAATCTTGTAGTTCTTCCTTTACTTTTTCTTTCAACAGTATCAGTTCTTAAATCAAGGTGATACAGTTTAAATTGATTTTCATAGATTGAGATACAGGGGTATAACTTTATTTTTCTACACAAGGACACCCAGCTTTTGCAGCATCTTTGGTTGAAGATGCTGTCTTTTCTCTGATTATGTATTTTTTGTATGTATGTCAAAAGTCACATGGTTATACCTGTGTGAGTTTGAGTTGTGGAATATTAGTTGATGTGTTACATTTGTTTAACTGTGAGGCTATATTACTTTGCTTGTCTAAAACACCTAATTGGTTTAATGGCCAATAGCAACACAGGAGAGAGATGGACTGGCTGCCAGACTATAAGAACAAATAGAAGGAGAAATAGAGAAGAGGGAGGTGTGAGGAGAGAAGACAGCCGGGGCCAGCCACCCAGCTACACAGCAAGCCATGAAGTAATAAATAAAGAAAGGTGTACAGAATACAGAAAGACAAAAGCCCAGAGCAAAAGGTATATGTGATAATTTAAGTTAAGAGCTGGTGGGCTGGAGAGGTGGTTCATTATTTAAGAGGACCCAGGTTCAATTCCCAGCACCTATACAGCAGCTAAACAACTGTCTGTAACTCCAAGATCTAAATCTCTCACACAGCCATCCATGCAGGCAAAGCACCAATGCATATAAAATAAAAATGAATAAAGTATAAAAAAAGGATAAAAGAAAATCTGACTAGAAATAAGCCAAGTTAAGGCCAGATATTCTTAAGAAAGAATAATTCTCTATGTAATTATTTGGGAGTTGGCTGGTGTATCCCCGAAAGAGTAAAGAAGAAAAAAACCCAACAACTACAGGTTTGTGTCTAGGTCCTCTATTCCATTGATCTGTATATCTGATTTTATGCTGATACGAGTTTTTGGTTTTGGTGGGGATATTATAGTTGTTGTTGTTACTATGCCTTTGCAAAATATTCAAATCAGGTTGGTGGTAACCCCTAA